ACCAAGCAGCTGTACATGGTAATTCAGACGCCGCATCGCGCTGTTGCCTCTTGGGTACGTCAAAGCTGTTGCCTCAGCCTCTGCAAATGCATTGAGTTCTCCTTCGTTCTTGTAGATCTCCAGCTCTTCACGCTTACTTCGTCCACTCGCACTGCTGTCGATCGCCGGCAACGCCAGAGAGCTCTTGGTCCCATCACCACAGTCATCATGATCGACAGCTTGGTGACCACCTTTTATCGTCGAACCCCTCGCTTCCGATGGCGAGAGCGTTACGACCTGAGTCTGGCAGCGGCTTAGATAACTTCAACGCCTCGTTCTCTTTGAAGATTCCAACAGCCCCCTCGAAGTCTTGCCCAGTTGACCCACCCGTAGTTGCTCCCGAAGTCGCTGAAATGCCACACGCTGTAGTGGCTTCGTCAAAATATCATCAAGTTGCTTCTGAGTTGGGCAATACTGCATCGCTGCATCCCCTCGCTGAATCACATCCCGGATAAAGTGATACCGGATTTTTATGTGCTTGCTCCGAGCGCTGGCTATCTCGTTCTTTATCAATTTAAGCGCTGACTCTGTAGCACGATTGTCTTGTCCTTGGCCCACAATCCAATTTCAACGAAAGTTGTTTCACCCATATAGCCTCCTTCATGGCCACTGCTGCTGCGACGTACTCGGCCTCCATCGTGGAGAGAGCTACAAACGTCTGCTTCTTAGAAGCCCATGCGATAACGGCACCATTAAGCATAAGAACTGCTCCTGATACTGACTTCGCATCCGATGAGTCTCCTGCCCAGTCGGCGTCCGTGTAAAATGTCGCGCGCCATTTGCAGCCTGCACCTTGCCCACTCTTAAAGAATAGTCCAAATGATGAAGTGCCACGAAGGTAGCGCAAAATTCACTTGACTCCCGTCCAGTGACTTTGTCGAGGCCGGGCTACAAATTTTGCCAAGTAATTGACTGCAGCGGTTATACCTGGTCGTGTACAGTTCGAGATGCACAACAATAATCCAATTTCCTTCCTCATCAACCCCGTATTCATCATCATCTCATTGTCGTCAAATGATTTCGTCGTATCCATGGGTGTGTGTACCGGTCTGTATGATGCCATTTCCATATTTGCCAGCAATTCCTCAATGGTGTCGCTTTGGTGTAGGAAAATGCCTTCATCATTGCGCTTGATACAAATCCCGAGGCATTTTTCTGCATCTCCCATGTCCTTGATGTCGTATATCTGGCCCAGTAATAGCATAGCCTCATCGCTGTCAGCATCGTCTTCACTAACGATAATCACGTCACCAACGTAAAGTCCGAGAACATAACCTTTTTTGGAACATCTCCTTGACGAAGTCTTTGTTTCCACTGGGATGCAAGTGCCGCAAGGAATCGCATGCTTGTGATTTTCAGCACCGGTGAATAAGTCTCTTCGAAATCGATACCAAAACGCTGTGTAAATCCTCGAGCTACCAATCGTGCATTAAACCGTTCCAGTTCTCCACGTAAATTAATCTTGATACGAAACACCCATTTTGACGACACAACGTTTGCTCCGGCACCACCCTTGACGACTTTTCATGTACCATTTGATTGAAGTTCCTTTTGCTCCTTCTCGATAGCCTCTTTCCACTGCGGCCATTCTGGAGTCTGCATTGCTTCGTCCAGATCACGTGGGGTTACCATAGGTGGCGTAGCTGCTGCCAACAAAAGTGTTGCTGATCCTGCAAATTCTTCGATGAGTTCCTGCGGCAGCGAGAAGTCGCTTTGCCGCTTCATCCTTTTACGTGAGCCGAAAACACGGCGAGCTGTACCGGCACTAATAGGGTGCCCATGGTACTCGTCTTCGCCGCTGTCTGAGGTTTCACTGAGGTTGATAGTGGCGTTTATTACGCTTCCGGTTTGACGTATCATTTGGAGCGGGGATCTCAACGAACCCTGGGGCACTGCTTGTTTGTTCTGTTTGTTGTTCTGGTACGGATTCTTCTGCAGGCTCTTCTTCAGGCTGTGCTTGTTCCTCTTCAACGCTGAGTTGGTTCAGTGCTTCTTCAGTCTCTTTCTCGCGGATGTCCAGCTCCTCGATGTTCTGGACGTCGGAGCTAGCGATAATCTTCCGAGTACGAGGCAGAAGAAGGCGATAACCCTCCTGGTTCTCTGAGATCCCGATGGCTACAGCTTTCTCCGCTCGGCGCTTGACTGAGGCGGCCTTTGTGTGCGAGACGTGCGCTGTGCATGTAGAACCAAACTTTAATATGTGGCTTACTTTTGGCGGCTTTCCAGTGAGTACGTCCAAAGGTGGTTTGTAATCTGCGTTTGCTCTTGTTGGAAGTCGGTTGCGTATGTATGAGGCATACTTGACGGCATCTCCCCAGTATCGTTCTGGAAGACCAGATGCCCAGACCATGGCACGACCTGAGTTCATCAATGTCCTGTGCATGCGCTCGGCCTTTTCATTTGACGCAGATTTATCCGGAAGAGTTTCTTGATGAACGATGTCGTGTCGACTACATTGTTTAGTGACTTCATGACCTCGAAACTCTCCGCCACCGTCCGACCTGATCGTCTTTACTGTGACTCCAAACTGGCGCTCAAATTCGGGTATGAAGTTCATGAGGTGTTTTGCCGCTTCATCCTTTGTCTGCAGCAAGAAGACCCTGTTGTAGCTCGATGCATAGTCCACAATTGTAAGCATGTGCTTGTTCCCGTTCCTGTCCAGTTGAATTTCTGTCTTCAGGTCTACGCAGAGAACTGCCCCAAGTTGGTCGGTGGGTGCGGATGTAGATGTATCTACTGTAGGCTGCTTCGACTTGCTTTGCTTTGCTTGTGCGCAGGACAGGCAGAATTTTAGCTTCTTTGAGACGACATCCATGTCCTCCGTCAAACCGTGGTTGTACATACTTAGGAGATCCTGGAAATTGAAGTGCCCTAGACGTTCATGCCAGTGCTGTAAGGTTGCCTTCGTCATCTGCGCAAACATCACTGCTGCGTTGCAATCCGTGCGTGCCGTCTCGCCGTTCAGGATCCACATTTTACCTTGGCGTTCAGCAATGGCGACTATGTCATCACGCTGATTCGTCAGCGTACACGCTGATGCTCCAAACGAAGTAGTGATCCCGTGTTCCCCGAGGTCAGTGAATGAGATCCAGTTGCGGTCAAGACCTGGAACTTGGTGCACTTCGTGTAAAAGAACGGATTGCGTAGTAGATCTATTGCTTGCGCGGACAATACAGCTTCCTTTAACGTTAGCGTGGAGCAGGCCACCATTTGCATTTCTGATGATCAAGTCAGATGGCGAAGTGCCGAACAGCGGAGTGCTCGTGTAGCACATGTGGTGTGGCGCTCCTGAGTCCACCAGCCAGTTTGTTGACGTTATCTCTCCGTGCTCATTTGCCATCCACAGCCCCGCGCTCTCATCGTCACTTTCGTCGGCATCGCGTTCTAGGCGCTGAGCTTGGGAAACCGAGGCCTGCTGCTGTTTCTTCGGCTTCTTACACTGCAAACGCTTGTGGCCTGGTTCTCCGCAGTTCCAGCATGCGATTGTCTTCTCGCTTGTGTTTGCTTGAGCGTTGTGATTTTGCCTCAAACCTGGACGTTGCTGACCAGTGGTTTGAAATTGTTTCTGCTGTTTAGGGCTGTTACCTTGACTACCGCGCTTCTTAATAGTGTTGCCGTTGCTGTGGTGCTGTCCTTGCTGCTGAGGTTGGCGAGATACACTCCCTTGGCCTCCGGGTCGCGCACTACCTACGCGCCGTCCGTCATCCTTGAGACGGATCAGTAAATCGACGACCTTGTCTAGCTCGTCCATGTGATTTGTGTTGGTTTCGTCGATCTTGCTGAGGAGAGTTGACTTCCCCTCCGGGCATGCATTGTTGCAGACCGTTTCTAGCAGTAGCTGCGATCGATCTCCCACCATTAAGCGCTCGATAAACTTGAGGTACGTGATGTACTGCTTCCACGTGTCTTTTTGTCGCTTAGGTGCGTCCATGCGTCTGGCCAGCTCATACTGGCTTAAGTGGCAGCCGAACGCTTTCTTCAGGTGCACCGTCAGGTCCTCGTAGCTCACCTCGCGGTCGACCACGAAGTCATGGTAAGACCGGCTTGCTTGGTCCTCCAAGAATGTGCCCAGGACTGGCGCCTTTAACTGGCTTGACCACGTGGACTTATTTAGAAGTTTTTCCATTCTGATTGCACCTTCAATTTCGTTCAGAAAATCTTCGAGTCCAGCTCCTAAGCCAGGATCCTCCTCCTTGTCATTGAACCGTCGGCAGTGAATGTCCTTAAGCTTCGAGGACTTCTCAGCGGTCCCTGGTGAATGGGTCGGCTTCTGCTCGACAGGTGGGTTGATCTCTTCCACCTCTTGCGCTTGCGTCTTGTACTCTTCCTTCGTGCGACTAGGTGCAGAACCAGTCGTTTTGCTCTTTGGCGTATCGTCTAGTCTGGTAATTCCGTAGTTGATGACTTAGTGATAGTTGACTGTTGGGCGATAATTGGTCGATGAAGAACGTTCAGACTGGTCATTTGGGACATCGCAGATGCCTTCTGTCCCCAACCTGAGGAGCTTTGATCGTCACGCTCCGACTGCTTGGGCTCTTCGACTTCTTCATCTAACTCGTGACTCTCATAGTGCTGCTTGCGAAGTGCTGCTTGGAGTGCAGCGAGTCTCTGCTCCGCCCGGTTTTTCTTGGCCAGCATACCTTGCTGCATTCGGATGACTTCCATAGCATCGTCCATACGGCTCTGGACTCTCCAGGCGCGCCGTTAATACCACGATCATCTCTGCGTCCGAAAGCTGTGTGATGCGGGTAGATGGGCTTGATTTTTTCGCTATATCCGGTGAGGTCGCATCTGCGATGCTTCCCGTCGTGTTGGTGTGCCGTGGCCGTCGCGGTGGCGTGCAGAATGCTTCTTGTTCGTGCACTCGCTCGCGTACTGCTTTATGTAGCTCAGTGTGGACGAATTCCAGGTTTCGACGGTGTGCTCGCTCTGCTCGTGCGATCGGCGGCATCGCTTGAGGACTATCGAGGTCCGTGAAGTCGAGCCGTCACGCGACCGACATCGTCGACGTCTTCTAATTGGTAGCGTGCGGCACTTGGGCTCAGATCCTTTTGCAACTCCAGAAACGCGCGGGGAATTTCCTGCCGTAGATAGAAGACCAAGTGAGCAGTTGATGTTAAAACTGAAAGTGATTTGAATCGTTAGCTTCGTCGCCGCCACTACATCTCGCTACTCCTGCGTACTTACCTGACAAGCACCATTGCGACGTCACCGTACATGTAGGAACGATGCGTCTTCCTTTCCGTCTGACGTCATCGTTCTGCAATCTGCAAATGCATTGAGCTCTCCTTCGTTCTTGTAGATTTCCAGTTCTTCACGCTTGCTTCGTCCACTCGCACTGCTGTCGATCTCCGGCAACGCCAGAGAGCTCTTGGTCCTATCATCACAGTCATCATGATCGACAGCTTGATGACCACCTTTTTATCGTCGAACCCCTCGCTTCCGATGGCGAGAGCGTTACGACCTGAGTCCGGCAGCGGCTTAGACAATTTCAACGCCTCGTTCTGGTGAAACGTCTGGGTTGACTTTGAAGATTCCAACACAAACGTCGCTCGGCAAAGATGTTTACTAACTGTTTCCAACTGAGAATCATCCAGTGCATAGTGATCCATGAGTGTCGTAGCTTTCTCCTCGTCCACGTCTGTCTCTGATGAATTTTGAATTGCGGAGGATCGCAGGAGCCGGAGGTCGAGGTGCTTAAAAACTAAATTACTCGACTGGAATCGCGATTCCACCGTTGAAAGATAGTTTAGAGATGAGGCGCGGCCACCAATTAGGAAGAAAAAATCTCCATTCGAAAACAACGAAGCCACAACATGGTAGCGAAACGCCACAAAGCGTTTACTCTGGTCCACTTTGTCAGTGAGTTTGATGTGGTTAAACGCCATCCCAATCTCATCGATCATGATGAACAGCGGACCAACTTCATCCGTCAAATTCTTCAAAACAATTCTGTGGTCACCGTGGGGAGACGAGAAGGCGAGAAATTCGGGTCTGAGGCCAAGATTGTCGTCAAAGTAAGTGTAAATTCCACCAAACATATTGATGACAGCCTTGTTACCATCAAACTCGCCATTTATGTCCAAGAGTTGCCGCGGAGTGAGCTCAATCTTGATCGTGTGGCAGCAACGCACAGTGTCCCAAAAGCCTCCTTTCTTTGGCTCTTCTTTTGTAATTTCCCCCATATCTGTCGGCATATCCGAATGTATTTCCGACCGAATGCTGTCTTTCCAAGGCCGAACACGTTATCCACGAAAGAAGTTATCCATGTGCTTCTTGCTGCGCGCGGAAATATTTGTTCTTGTGAATATCCAGAAGTTGTCGCGTAGTATCTTCACGATCGATGAAGAATAATCTTTTAGTCTTTGACAATAACTCGGCTCTTCTTATTTCCAGTCCCACTTTGAAAGATCGACTCGGCGTCGTTTCGTTGGGCTTTCACAGCTGTCGCTTTGATGTTCGCTCCATACCCTTCGATGCACAGGTACCGGTACTTCCACGACGAGGGCACTCTCCCCAGTTTTGCCATTCTCTTCAATACGATCACCCGTGTCTTCCTTTGGAATCCCCGTTGGGCCACTATATACTTCCAAATTCCTGAATACCTGAGATTTTTTGGCTTCACATCGTTGAGTTGGGCATGATCAATATTATTCTAAACTGCGGCTTGAAGATCAGCCACCGTCTTTCAATCAAGTAGGGGGGGAGAAAAAGGAGATGTCACCCGCAAGCGGAGAGCGAATATCAGCCGGAATCAAATTCTAGGGACTTCCACAATGAGCGCGTCGCCTTCAGTCATCCCATCGCCATCCAAGCTAATAGACGACGTCAAGAGACCTTGTTCCGGATCTCGGTAAGCCCCCCCCCAGTCCTTGTACATATTAAGGTAGGACGCATCAACTCCTTCCGTTTAACCGGTGCGTGGACCCCACCGGCTCCCCACATGGATGCACCAGCTGAAATCACACAAGCATCGCTTTTTTTTCTTGCAATATTTGTGAGATTTCCAATTGGTGTTGACTGAAATGCGATCCGAAAATAGGAACTTTTGTTTTTGGCAAAATTAGAAAATGGGATCTATCGGTCATTTATTCGGATTCAATGCGGATAGCTTACCGGTATTATACAATGGAGCGCTTTTCTGTATTTTCTAAAGGGTTAAAATAGCGCTTGGTGTCGTTTTCCTGGTTGCGGGACTTCGAGGTGGTGAAGCTACTTTTAGCCATTCACATACGCTGTTCACTCGACGTCGAACGAAACCAAAACTAGACCCGGTAAATTGAAGAATGGGCCTCTTTAAGGTGCTAGCGAGTGCGCTGGGAATGAAGAAAACGCAGGTCCGTATCCTCGTTGTAGGACTTGACAACAGTGGCAAAACGACGCTAGTGAATCATCTGAAGCCCAAGAAGAGCCAATCTCGTGAGGTCGTCCCCACCATCGGCTTTCAAGTGGAGGAATTCACAAAATCCAATCTCAACTTTACTGTTTTCGACATGTCCGGTCAAAGTCGCTACCGAAGTTTGTGGGAGAACTACTACAGCGACGTTCAGGCAATTATCTACGTGCTAGACTCCACCGACGCCATCCGTATGTGTGTGGCCAAGGACGAGCTAGAGCAGCTTGTTGAACACAAGGAACTGTCATCCAAGAAAGTCCCGATCCTTTTTTTCGCCAACAAGATGGATCTGCCGAGTGCGCTCACACCCGTCGAGTGCATGCAGCAACTCGAACTCGACAGTCTAGGGAGCAAGTCCTGGCACATTACGTAAGCAAAAACGAAAGTTCCTATTACTCTCTTTTTATTAACTAGCGTTGTGCTGTTCCTAATACAGTGCAAGCAACGCTGTTACCGGTCGTGGAGTGGAAGAAGGCATCGAATGGCTTGCCGACCAGTTCGCTAAGGGTAAATCCCGGAAGTGAGCCACGAGTAGCTAGAGCTTTGATAAGAATTGTATTACATTCGACCTTATGTCTTTAGCCTTTAAAGTATTCGTGTAGACATTACAAGAAGCAAGGAAGGAGAAAAGATTAACTCTTATGTCCTAGGAAAGCCTACATGAACTGCTCAGCTGGCGTAGCGGCCTTCTGCTGCTCGTTAGAAGTGGCGTTGTTGGCCTTCGGCACCGGCAGGAACAGCTTGAACTCAGGTGGCAGCTCCTCCTCAGAGTAGAGGCGGTCGGAGAAGTAGATGCGTCGGATGCGGCAGTTGGCGTGAATCTGCACACGCAGCGTCTCAATGTAGTTGGTTCCGTACGCACGACGCGTAAAATCCGAGAGGTTGAACTGGATCTGGTTCCAACCTTCGTCTAGACGCATGGGCATGGTACAGATGAAGGGTTTGACCCTCGTGGAGCTCTGGTAGTTGCTCGCTCGAAAGCGACGACGAACGTTCTTATCGTCTAGCACTTGCACTTCAAAAGTAAAGTACTTTTTTAGGTTTTTGATGATCATAACGAGGAACGGCAGCTTGATGCCAAGCGTCTTAGCCGGTTGGGCAGGACACGTGATGAAGTTGGTGCTGACGTTCGTGCCCATGATCTCCAGCACTGACGACTGGATGTCTTGGTCCGTTATACGCTTGATGTGGCCATTGCGCACCTGTTTGTCCCATATCTGCAGCGGCTTGCTTCTGTAATTGACACAGATACACAAGGAAAATGAGCGATGAGAGGAACACAGCGTTCACACGGACGTACCCAATGCTATAGAGGATGGACAGGAAACCCGACTGGAATGTGTTCTTGAACATCGTGTGCAAACAGCGAACTAAAGCACAGCGGCGCACGAGGAGCGTACCAAATGCGACGACACGTTGGACGGTTATGAAGGACGTCGCTTCATCATAGGAGTTTCGGTGCGTTAAAATAAATTCGGAAGATACTACTACTAGTAGTATAAATTAAAATAAATTTGGAAGATATTATCGTAAGTTAATGTGACCCACACCATAAGTTACTTGTCATGAAACTAAAGTTCCCCACTGTCGGTCGACAACAATGTTACATGTCATCTACCCTACTAGGAACACTGTCCTAACAACAACGGCAGCCAACGACCGGATAATTATCGCAACTGACCGTAAATACGTCAAACTTTTCCAAACTGACCGTAAAACATACACATGTCTATAAATGCTGTTTGATTGGTTACATTTGTTGAAGTTCACTAGTAAAAAAAGATCAAGCGAGGACGAATCCACATGTACCGCTCCATTACATAGTCGCTCACTCTACAACTATCATGGAACCAGGCAAGGTTAACCTTCAGTCCAAGTACGGGAGGCAGTCAGTTACATTTAGGGATGTATTTCTATCAGCGTCTGACAGTACAGCGTTTCTTCGTGCTTACGCTTTCAACGAGAATAAGTCAATGGGCTTTATTACCACACCACTCACCCCCCACATGGGGATCAAGCAAGGATGTTCAGGTAGCAGTAGATCCCCTAAAGACGCAAAAATTCCTCAGACGCTTGTATCTACGTAACATAGTTGACATAAACAAAATAAATTTTGAGATTACACACTGCTAGAGAAACACTCGTCCACGTACCTGTACGACGGTCCTGCTCCCCCAAAGCCTGGTATTCCTGTGAAGTTGGCTCGCTCTCTCCTCACGTACGGCTTGGTTGCTGCGAGCACAAAGTCAGTTATTCATTCCTGTGACGCTGACTCATCTGCTTCTTACGTCTTAATTTCCTTCTGAGAACCGTCTCGCCGTATTCAATATTAATCCTGCAAAACCAGCAGCGACAGTTGTCTTTAGTCCACAACACACACGCAAAGTAAGTGAGATACTCAGTCTGCACATACCCGTCTGCAGAACTTTCGTGGTCTCTGTGTACTCTTCTTGCTACCAATAGATCCGATCTGGCACTGAAGCAGTCTTTTTCTTTTGGATACTTGTTCTTCACCGCGTCCCAGTTGTACATCAAACCTTTTATACTGCGATGTCTCTTTACTTCATGTACAAACGCCGGCTGTGTAAGTTTTACGGTCAGTTTGGAAAATTTTGATGTATTTACGGTTAGTTGCGATAATTACCCCCAACGACCTGTTTTCAAACCTTTTCTTCTTTATTTTTGGTGGTTCAAGAGAACTAGACGACGTTTGCTTGTGTGGCAACGCCCTCTAGCCGCCTTCCCGATACTAACTTACAGCTTGGGGCCGAACTTGGAGTAGTCCGTCACGCCGGGGGACACGTACTTCTTGAAGTTCTCCTGGAACATACCGGCCAGCTTCTTGGCCGTGACGTCGTACGCCTCCTTGTCACTCCAGGCCTCACGCGGGTTCAGCACGTTCTCCGGGATCTCGCCGAGCTTCTTGGGCACGGAGAAGCCGAAGTTGGGGTCCTCCAAGAACTCCGAGTTCTTGATGGAGCCGTCCAGGATGGCGTCAATGCAGGCGCGCGTGTCCTTGATGCTCATGCGCTTGCCCACGCCGTAGCCGCCGCTGGTCCAGCCGGTGTTGACCAGGTACACCGACGTGTTGTGCTTCTGCAGCTTCTTCTGCAGCAGGTCCGCGTACTTGGTCGGGTGCAGCGGCAGGAAGGCGGCACCGAAGCAGGCACTGAAAGTGGCCGTGGGCTCCGTCACGCCACGCTCCGTACCGGCAACCTTGGCCGTGTAGCCGGACAGGAAGTGGTACATGGCCTGGCCGTCGCTCAGCTTAGACACGGGCGGCAACACACCGTAGGCGTCGCACGTGAGGAACACGATGTTGTTCGGGTGGCCTCCGCTCGAGGTAGGCTCGTGGTTGGGGATGTGGTAGATCGGGTAGGACACACGGCCGTTCTCCGTCTTGGACGTGTTGTAGAAGTCCGGCTCCTTGGTCTCGGCGTCCACGTACGTGTTCTCCAGCAGAGCATCGCGCTTGATGGCGTTGTAGATGTCCGGCTCGTTCTCGGCGCTCAGGTTGATGGTCTTGGCGTAGCACCCACCTTCAAAGTTAAAGATTCCTTCATCATCCCAGCCGTGCTCGTCGTCACCGATGAGGTATCGGTGCGGGTCGGCCGATAACGTCGTCTTGCCTGTGCCGGACAGACCGAAGAACAGAGCCGTGTCGCCGTTCTTGCCCTTGTTGGCCGAGCAGTGCATGGCCATGATACCGTCGAGCGGCAGCCAGTAGTTCATCATGGAGAAGATGCCCTTCTTCATCTCTCCGCCGTACCACGTGCCACCAATCACAGCCACGTCCTTCTCGATGTTGAAGGCCACAAACACCTCCGAGTTGAGGCCGTGCTTCTTGTAGTTCTTGTTCGTCACCTTGCAGGCGTTCACAATGGTAAAGTCCGGCTTGAAGTCCGCAATCTCCTCCTTGGTCTGAGGACGCAGGAACATGTTGGTCACAAAGTGGTGCTGCCACGCGAGCTCCGTGATGAAGCGCACTTTCTTGCGCGAAGCCGGGTTGGCGCCGGCGTACCCGTCGAACACGTACACCTTCTCGGCCTGGCCGTAGTGCTCGCTCACGGTCTCGTACAGCTCGTCGAACACCTCGGGGCTCACGGGCTGGTTGATGTCACCCCACCAAATGTTCTTGCTGGACGGGGCCTGGTCCACAATGAACTTGTCCTTGGGCGAGCGGCCCGTGAACTTGCCCGTGTCGATCGTGTACGTACCGTTCTTGACGAAGTGACCCTCGCCGTTCTTCTCCTCGTGGACGGCGATCTCGTCGTAGCTCAGGTTGCGGTGCACCTGCGTCTTGGCGTTCGTCACGCCGAACTTGTCGATGCCGAGCGACGCAGCAGTCGCGTTGGCGAACGTGCGCAGACCGAAAGACGACGAGAACGCCGGCGATGACTGCGCCATCTTCATGGCTCCGAGGCGCTGCACACGCAGGCTCGCACGCAGGGCAGAGGTGAACATCGTGAGACTCTCGAGTGGCTTCTAGGACGGAGGCGAAATGAGATGTGAGCGGAGAAAGATATAAGGTCGCTTCGCATTTTGGGCTGCTGACGTTGGTGGGATCACAGACATCGGATGGGCGATTGGCGGATAAAGGACTCACCATTTGGTCCAATCTCAGCCAACTCGAAAGCGCAAACACCTACCCTCGAGGTTGTGTTTTGGCCAATGGGAGTTAGAGATGTGTAGAAACACGCGCGCTGCTTGGACTCGATTGGTCAAAGAAAGCCTGCTGTTTGAATTCTTCAACTTGCGCGTGCGTGGCACGGACGAGGCCTGCTGCTGGCCACCAGTGCCGTCATGTTCGGCGGCGCGAAACATCGGCGCGTCACGCAGCGAGCGTCTTGCATTGCAGTTCCCCTTTCAGCAAAGCGTATGATCGGACAACAATTGGAAGGCAGCCTCCGGCTCGCCAGCGACAGCCTCAACTCGTTGGTGGACATGCCACAACTGTGAAGGGCGGCTCTGGTATTACCAGAGCCGGCTTACCAGTGGTAAGCCTGTCAGTGCCGCTTGTGACGCGCTTTTATCACGAGGTCATAGCAATCGAGAGAGCAAGGTAGATTTGCACCAACTTCAGCCTGCACTTGCTGCAGTGACTGCAGGCCCTGCAGTGCTGGAAGGTCGATCCATTTTGATACTGTACTGCTCCGTCACATGCAGATATCTACAGTGTCCACACTCAAGTTCACCCAGAGATCCCTAGCCATGCTAGCTGCATGAGTTTGCCGGCGAGTCGGTAGTTAGCACGAATCCAGCAAACGAGATGACCAGCTCAACCTAATTGCGGTTTGTTACAGAAAGACACATGTGGAGATCGCACCACCGCATACGCTCAGTCGTAAAGATACGCTCGCCAGCAGCACGCCAAGCACCAAAAGATTATTCCTGCCCGACCTGCCAAGCTGCGTAGAGCGCAGCATCCACCACGAACGCTAATCAGACTAATTGCTGGACGACGACACATGATTGTGTAGGTGAGCTGCATTGCAGGCATTGTTCCAGACACCATACAGTCCACAACTGGAAGGACGTCTGCCTTAGATTCCAGACACGGAGGGTCCAGTCGAGGCAGAATGAGAGCGACTGTTAATACTCAAGTTTTATAATCCCGACGTGACCATGGAAAATCACCATCTCAACTGTGGATTGTGGTGCGTTTCTGAGTGTGACGAAAGAGGCGTGTGCCGTCTGGACTGAGCGGATAGCTGCGCGGATGTACTTCACTAGTATAACCAGCAATTGCAATCACCGGACGGCCAATGATGTTGGTACACAGTGCAAATGGGTAACGTGTTCTTTTCAAGGTTTGTCTTGCAGCCTTCACAGCACATTGTGGCAGTAAAGTCAGTGGATGAGCCAACGAGACTGCAACGCCTCTCGTGGCAATAAGACCGACGGCGTCAGCGTGTATAAACGAACAGGAGGCGGGTAGCTTTGGCAATACTAACAGTAGATTGACATCAACAACGCAGCATGTCTCGAAAAAAATATTTGCTGTACAATATCTATCAGGCACTTTGCTGCTCTGTCTTCTTCTCTTCGTCACTAACAGCGGCCATGACACGCTTTACTTCTTCGCCAACTTCATTTACGCCGAGTGCACGTTCCAGGATTCCTGCAGATTTCCGTTCACGTCGCTTGGGTGGCTTTGGATTATCGTGGATACTTTCGATATGATGTTTCAGAACTGTCTTGTAGCCGAACCGAGCCGTACAACCGTCGCGCGGACACGCAAAGCGCTTTGACTTGCGTTTGTCGTGCACTGCGTTATAGTGCGCCATCAAGTTCGATTTACGCGTGTAAGCCTTGTCGCAACCGTCCATTGGACACGTATACTGTTTGCGCTCATCCAGTGACTCGAAATGAGTGCGCAGATGTACTCGCAGATACTGTTTTCGAGTAAAAGTCTGGTCGCACACAAGACACAGATGTGCTGGTGTCTCCTTGGCTTTAGCATCGTCCACAGCATCTTCTCCGTCCTCATTACCATGCTCGTTTTGCTTGTGAGTCTTCAATTCCTCTTCATCAAAGCATATTTCGCCACAATCGCAGACGTACACTTGGGTATCTGCATCTTTATTAGCTTCATGCTTCCTCTGGTGGCGTGTTAACCAGAATCTTTTAAGAAAGCGCTCGCCACAGTCCTCACACTCGAAAGGCAATACACCAGTGTGGACGTACGAATGAGCTTGAAGCTCACTCTTCTTCTTGAACCCTTTAAGACACTCGCTGCATTCGAATGGCAGATTCACGTTCCGATGTGAGCGCTTCATGTGTCTCGTTAGGCCATGATTGTATGTAAATCTAGCCTGACACAGCTCGCACTTGTATGGCTTACGTTCCTCCAGTGATTGAGTCGACCCTCGAACGTGGACTGTCTCGACGTGACGCGTTAGATGCTCTCTCTTCGAATAGCGTTTATCGCAGCATTTGTATTGACAAGCGAACGGACGGTGTCGCGTGCTTTGACTGTGTGTGACTAGCGCAGTTAAGAACTGGAAATGTTCGCCACATTCTGCACATTCGACATAGACGTTTTCGTTCTTGACGATTTCTGTGGTGCTCTCGTCTTTGCTTTTCATTGGCACGTCTGAAGCAACATTTTTATCGCATATTTTACACACCTTCACGGATACATTTGGAGCTCCATCTAGGCGTCGACGCTTGGCTGGTCTCGAAGCAGAGGCCGAAGGAGTAGCGGGCTCTGACGGGAGCAGCACACGCACTGCTGACATGCTACGACCGAACCACTGGTGGTGGCGTTTGCCACACTAATTAAACGCGTTTCACTGTGTCATTTGTGTCATACAGTACTAGCAAGGTGGGATAAATATTTGGTTCATTTCTACAAAAATGATACCAAAAAGAGGATTATAAATGTTTGGCTCATTAAATATTTACGCAAAATGCAGATGCCATAGCACATATGATGTGATTGCACACCAAAGAACCATGATACATGCTCGGTACAAATTTTCGAAAATTTGAAAGTTATGTGATTCATTGAACAGGACCAAAATGGCAAATTTGGTCGGAATTCACAATTCTAATATTTATACTTCAATAAGTCCCGGTGATTCGTTTGACAACATGGTGCAGATGGCGAAAGCACTCGTCGGCACTGGCGCGGCGCTGTCGCCGCGAGCGTTGGCCAAGCTGCAGGTGCAAGTGCAGGCCATGGTGCGCTGTCTCAACTGCCCCGGCGGACCTTGGTACGAGTAGCAGCCGCGTTCTCCAACGTTAATTGACTGGCTGTGCGGCTCACATTATACAAAGGGATGTGGGTGTTATGCTTACGACAGACACGCATGTGCAGAAGCTTAATCGCAGATTCCGCAAGAAGGACAAGCCCACGGATATCCTATCTTTCCCTTTCCACAAAGTAGGAGTACACACCCAGGCTGCATTGGGCAACAAAAAACTCACTTCGACTGCTACTGTAATTATGGCGACGGAAGGTGCGCGCGCCCGGGCGATTCCCGCGTATAAGGGCCCGGGAGGAGCGATACCTAGGAGACATCTACATCAGCCCGGCATACGTGCAGCGTCAGTGCGAAGATCCGCAGCTCGAAGAGATCACAACGCTGGAAGAGCGACTACCGGTGCTAATGGCACACGGACTCTGCCACTTGTTGGGGTAAGAACAGCCACGATGGTAACGAGGAGGTTTTTTGTCGACTGATGACATTGTGGCGATGCGAGACAGCTACGACCACGAGATGGACGACGACTACGAGCGCATGCAAGGGGCCGAGAACTATATTCTGAATCGCTACCGTCACTTCCTACCAACTATTTACAACGTCGACTGAAAGTGATCCGTAGACGCCGTGGCAACTCAATAGATTGTTGCTCTATCAGTGCACCGAGTACCTGTGACCAACTCAAGCACTCGTAAATGAAAAAGACGGAGAAGTGATGCTCTAATTCCGGCCCTCCACCATGTCGTACACCACGCTCGTCGCCGTCTTCATGATCATTGTCGTAAAACTGGCGTGCAGAAGACGCGCCAAGAACCCCGTGGTGCCAAAGGCAAGCACCTGGTTCAGACCACCGGCACGGTATTGTTGTCGGAATAATTCCACCACCGGCACCTTGACGCCAGCCTTGGATGCCTGCTGGATCTGTGCCACTAACACGTCCATGGGCAACGTCAACGCTGCGCTGAACACACCGCCAATCAGCGACGAGAACACCTGCTCGCTCGTCGTGAGCACACGGTCCGGGTCGTTGCGCTTGTATACGATGTTCTCGGCTTGGACGGAGAAGAAAAAGCGCGAGGACCAGTCAGCAACACGCTTCACCGAAAACATGCCGGAGCCCTTCATAAGCGCAGCGACGCCTTCCTTTTGTATAACCTTGAGACCAATACGCATGGAGCGCGACATAGTCTCGAGCGGCGTCATTTGCTCACGGAAAATGGGATCCGTCATGACGCGTGTCTTGAGCAGCAGCGTTGGGCTGAGCACAAAGCCCTGGAAGCCACCACCGATACCACCGGCAATGACCTCGGCTGTGCCTTTGCTGATCTTGTCCGTCTTGACCATAGGGTTGAGTGACGTGCGGGCGACGGAGTGACCCCAAGCGAAGACAGATCCCTTGGCCACTCCCTGCAGGGCTCCCCATGGGAAGAACCCGTCCCAAACACCCACGACGCCCTTGGCGTGCATGATCTCCTTGGTCAGATGCACGTACGAAAACTGTGGCCTGGTCTGCTTCATGATCTTGATGAACTCCAGGTAGTGACCCAGCGCGAACTCGTACGCGAGGCACACGCCGGCACCGACAAGCAGCTTCACGCCAGCCCTCTCGGGTTTGTGCTCAGATTTGGCGCTGAGGGCCAGCGGTCTGTACGCATGGGGACCGCTAAGCATGAGAGGGTGGAAGGCCCCGGCCTGGCGGTTCTTCTGCCACAGAGCGGAGCCAGACACGGAGCTGTAGAGCGCAGGGCCGAGCATTGGAGCTTCCGGGCAAGTTGGACAATGGACTCTCCAGGGGAAGCTAAGTCACTTTTCAAAGATCGGCTGCACAGATACTTGGAATTTGTATTAATTTTTGCGGAAAAGATTGCATCAATACAGCCACCACGACGTGGTCCACGTGTTTCTCTGCCAACTTTTAATACGTGTATGAGCAATCGCTGCGAGAATATCTCGAGCGGCAGATCCCGAAGGCGACCCAGGGCGGCGCACGACGCACCCAAGTGACCATCCCATACAATGCATGCCGACCTATTCTCTAGATTTTATATCCAGAGTTTTAGGGGGCGAGTTCTCTGCATTTTACATGTATCCGTAGTCCATCTATTGATATCTATGGATGATAATCTAGCTATTTCCTATACCCTGTCATAACCGTTTTGTATCGTTTGAGTGCTCAGCTAAAGTAGCTAGATAAAAAACGCTACCTTTGCACAAATAATACTCTCTCCGTTTCAGATTACTTGACCAAATTAAAGTTGTTCGAGCTTGCTGACAAAACTTTGGTCGAGACCAAATACAAAACGCACATAAAAATAATCAGTGCGATTAAGCACTCCAAACCATATATTTTAGATGTTCTTAATTCACACTATATTTATTATAACCTAGCAGAAAACAAGAAAAATTGAATCAGGATTTAATGTACAAATAGGAGGCTGAGGTTTCATTTATTCATCAAATTTTCAAGTAATTTGAAACACGATGTGATCAAGTAATCTGAAAGGGAGGGTAGTGTACTATGCACGTAGGTTGACCCATCTACCAAAGATGAAGACAAACTACCTTGCCAGGCTTGTATGCGATGAAACGATATTGTAACCTGCCAGAAACTATTAATCCAAGCCGCACACGCAGCATTACAGCTAATATCTTTTTTTGCGCGACAATAACCAGATCTTTGCGTCGGATTGAGGCGAGAGCGAGCATATTTTAGTTAGGTGTCCATTATTAGTCGGACACGGGGTACGTTTAGTAGTGCGCTGCAGATGTAACAAAGATATCTCGGCACTGGTATCTGCGGCAGTCTGTGGAGACGACGAAGCGACCGATACGCAACCAGAAGTGATAGCGCAGCGTCACGTCTACGTGGATTCGTACGGGCAGCTAAATTTGACCTTTGCACTGCACACCACACTTTAAAAATCTCATTAAACTGTTCTCAAGATCTGTGAGCAGGAGGTGATAGTATCTCGTATTTGGTATATAATTTGAATTTTACAAGGGAGCATCAGTCATCAAAATTACTCCACCACCGCCGGGATGCCCGCGCTCACATCACTGTCGATTTACTCTCCATGCTGACGAGCAGCGCCTTCGTAGCTGTCCTGCTTGTTCGTAGTCATGGCGCTTGTCTTTGTGCTCCGTTACGACCTTCGCAACTAAATATATCTATGTAGAGGGTCTCGAGATCAAACACAGTTTCAAGGAAGCTGGCGCTTCCCTTGACCTTGGTAAATTGCTTGCTCTGAGGCAAAACCCAAACTGCCCACACTAGCTACTCTTTGCGTACATCTATCGCCCTCTAGCTACTGAATAGGATGTACACATCTCTCAATTATCTATGCCAGCTTGACCTCACGCTCTGTGCGGCCCAGTGCAGTGGCCAAGGCTTTTACTCCTATGCACAGCCACTGCAGAACGGCATCTTCGCCAGGCATCCCGAAAAATAAATAATCTCGGAAAAGTATTCATATTTGGGTACCAATAATTTATTTTAGGAAGAAGTCGTAGGTGTACCCGATATTTATGCTCAGTACTCTGAAAAATCAATACCTTATTTTCCCTCCCCCGTGACCATTCATCGCATTTATTCCTTACTGAAAGCTCTCTGTCGCATTTTCAAACCTGCTACCAGCCTCCCAACTTCTCCTATATTCCCAGTCGCCACAATGACCGACAACCTGCTCTCTGCGCCGCCCACAAGGCCCACCTTCTCGCCCAGGCAAATCGCCACCTTCTTCTTCTCGCCCTGCGCTGATGAAGAAGGTGTGCCAACGGGTGTGTATGCGTGCAAGTATTGTGGGAAGTGTCGCAAGCTCAGGCCGAAGACGGGCTACTCTAACCTGGTCTCGCATGCTCGGACTGCGCACCCGGACTTCGAGAGCGCCGTGCGTGACGAGAAGGCATCCAATCGTTATCCCTGGCTGCGTTGGGTCATCACGGTCAACCTGCCGCTCTCATTCTGCGAGTCGAATGAGACCCGACGGTAAGTATTTCGGTATTTTATTTTAATATTTGTATTTGCACTCTAACTAATTTTTTACATAGGTATACAAAGCTTAACCGCATCTCCGAGGAGACACTGACAGCTATCATGGAGGCGGTGATAAAGGCCGTGGAGAAGGCTATTGGGGACGAGATTCTGAGAACTCTGGTCTCGTTCTCGACGGTTGGACCCACGGTACGGAACGCTATTTGGCGGTCTATGCATGCTACGAAACCTCGGCGGGCTTGCAGCTCCCACTTTTGTCGCTAGCCCCTGTGATGGATGAGCCCGACGACCAACTCAATGCGGATGGCCATCTCACGGCAATCAAGCGATTTCTGTCTTTCTTTGGTAAGTCAGTGTCCGGCTGTCTATTTTTAGTCGGTGACAACTGCGCGGTAAACAAACGGCTGGCCGATTTGCTTGGTGTGCCGCTTGTCGGTTGCACAAGTCACCGACTAAATCTTGCCGTGCGGGACTTCTTGGAGCCCAGCGAGGACGACCTCGAGGCGGTACAGCAGCTTATGCGTAAGCTTCGCACTCTTAAGCAGGCGGCGAAATTACGGTATGTTGAGAATCTGACTGTATAAGGCTTTTATGCAGTAATACTAATGTATGTGTAAACCATTTTGCAAATTTACAAAAACAGCACCAAAACACCACTTCGGGCGGTTCTGCGACAGGATACACGCTGGTCATCGACTTTTTCGATGCTGAAACGGGTACTTTCGCTTTGAGAGTTTATTTCCGCCGACGATGACGAGCTCGCTGACTATCTACAATCGCGGACAGCGCACCGGAAGCTTGCCGCGCTACTCGCCAGCCTGGAGGATGTAGAGTCAGTCTCCAAGCGTTTACAAGCTAACGGGCTCACCTTGCTCGATGCACGAGATCTGTTTGACGGTCTGAATGAAATTCAGCCGTCATTTGCGAAGTACATCGGTAAGTTAGCAAGATTTTGCCTATTTCAACTTTTACCTGACATTTTGTTTCTCTAACTGTTATTTTGTGTGCTTGGTATAGCCCCCGACGCTAATATCGTTCATTCGCCCGACTTTGAGAAGGCTGTGGTAAAAGTTTTGGCAGGCCACACTGCCCTACTCACTGATGCCGAAAATGCCACGTTAGAGCCGTTTAAGCGTCGAGCTAGTATGGCCTCGGTGTGTGAGCGTGCTGCGGTGACCAAGGAAGGATTCGCTGAGCGAATTCTCAAGCGCCGCAAAGCTCCTGCTGCACTGGCGACATACATGCTGTTGGGGGCGATTCCGCCGACTTCCAACATTGTAGAGCGATTGTTCAGTATGGCACGTGCAGTTCTGCGTCACGAGCGCCACCGGCTGTCGCCTATTATGCTTGAGATGATTCTGTTCTTGAAGGTGAACAGCTCTCGCTGGGATGTAGCAACTGTCGAGCAGTGCCTTTGGGAAAGCTACTGATGACTAGCATGGTCGCAATAACTTACTGTGCTACTGCTTTGTTTCCAGTTATTTATTTTCTATTCTTTGTCTGTGAGCGCAAATACTTATTTTTCTTTCCAACTTGCAATAGATCTATATCGTATTTTCGGGATGCCTGATCTTCGGACACTCCAGATTTAATGATATTATCCTAACTACGAATGTGCAATGGGCTAGCTTTACCCAGCCACTACAGTGGGCGGTAGTAGGGATCTTCTGATTGACAGTGACAGATGCCGATAACAACCATCAAGTGACGATTGGAGTTCAGAATTGCTGGTCCGAGCTGGTAATAAATGCAGGGTATGTATTTCCGAGTATATAGAGTATGTATACATAGAGTACAGACAAAGAGTCAGTTAGTCAGTCTAGATTTTGCTTAGTGGAAAGGAATCTAGTTGGCAGAAGCTTTATGGAGTGCCAGCTCCCCCAGTTGTGTGTCTACTTAAAAGACCTACTACAGAATGCTGTAATTTCTTACTGATCTACTTACGTACTGCTTACCCGTGTTCTCGACCCGGAAAGGCGCAGTTCTGCAACGTACTATATTAACTGTACAAATCACAGCTCGTGCAAAAATCCGTGGAGAGATAAGAGCAGTCTCGTGATCAGTTTGTGACGGAGAAGCACGCGTATCACTACACCACGAAAAAACGGTGTTTCTGTATATACCTGTCAAGCATAGCAACGAGTGGAGGACATCGATGAGAGTATGGAAAAGGTGACTCCTATTAGGGCGTGTTCGCGTTGTGCCTGAAGATGGAGATGATCGCATCTCACAAAATACGTCGAGCAATTGATTGGCCAAAAACCATTTGCTACAATTGCACAGCTGGAGACTAGAGGTGATATCCTTCTCCACCTATTGGAGGTGGAGACAGGAGACGGAGATAGAGACGAGAGGCTCACAATTTGTAATGGAGGAGAATATTGAAAAAGTTATGCAAGCTGTGTGTGCTGCAGAAGGACAAGCGGCTGTACTACTAGTCACCGACGACGAGCCCGCCACTACGGAAGGGCCAAGGGAGGTTCTTACGGTCTCTTCGCTTAAGTTTGAGCCCACGCTTCAATCTGCAGCCTACTCCAGCTGGTTTGAAGACAGTGATGTATAATGTAGCGCTACACTTATACACAGTACTTTTGACTTGCACTGGGTAACATCTACCTCGAAGCCACCCATACGGTGAGTCTCAGCAGCTAGGTAATCCCACGCAGCACTAAGGTGCTTTTATTCTTAGCTCCATCAAACAACCCCTTCAGGATGTCGAATCGCAATCTGAGCAGCACCTCAGCCGCCTTTACTGTCCACGCAA